TGTTTCTGAATCACATTTAGTATTGTGAACCAGTAAAGATATAAAACAAATATAAATTCATGAACACAGTATTTCTGAGGATTGCACTCCAACTACATGTAAAAATAACTTGCCTTTAGCAGCTCAGACTTGATGAGAGCATTTGTTCAAATATTTAAGTATTCATACTCCTTAACATGTTATGAAATATTTAAAACAAAGTAGCTTTTGTTAAAAATAAAATAAGAGTCACTAATGTCAAAGCACAGATTCACTTTAGGAAAATAAATTAGACAACAACCAAGTGGACTGTGGGATCAGTGATAAGTCTAATACCCCTACCTGGACCATGGACTTCCCTGAATCCAAACTGAACAGCCAGACACAATGACCCAAAACAAAGACTCAAAATTTTACAAAATTGGCAACTGGACAACAAGCAATCTGCAGAGTTGTTTCTCCCATTTGTTGCCATTCATGCAAGTATCTGCACAAAGCACTGTACTCTTCTAACACTGGATGAGCCCATAAGCTGGGGGAAATCTCCCACATGGCATTCACTTAAACATAAGCACTCAGTCTGAAAATGCTACTGCTCAGACCAGAGTCCTTACTTCTTTGTGCCTCGGTTCACTAACAACTGTGTCACATAATGTTTTAGGAATGTTAAACTTATAGACACATTAGTTTGTGACTTGATAGAGTGCTTGCTGTGTGAATCTGTGTGCTTTCACCTACTCTGAATGTTAGATTGGCTGGTTTTCATTTGTCACCCAATAGTTTGTTATTTGATTAGTTGCAAAAAAAGACATTAAGAAAAAAAAGATTGCATGTAGAAAATTATTTCTTTCCACAAGACTCCATAGGGCTATTTATGCAATTGATATTTAAAATAATATTATGTGAATATTGTTATCTTGAGCACTCCCAAGTTATCGTATATGCTTTAATGCATAATACTGAATAGCATTATGCTGCATTAATATTTTTAACTGTTTGATCCCCTAAAAGTATTTTTATAATTATGGAAAATTTCAAATACAGAGAAAGAGTCACAATAGTATGAAATACCTTCATGTTCTATAGCCTAGTGCAATTACTTTGGTTTTGCTGTTTCTGTCTAATTTGCGGGCCTATTTGCTTTTCTGTTTTTTATTTTTTTTTTATTCCCTTTGTCAGTAAAAAAAGAAAGATCCAAAATATTCCACCAGTAAATATTCAAGTATATATCTCTTACTGATAGTTTTAAAAATATAACAGATATTTGGTGAGTTCTGCCAAACATGTGTTATATTTTAAAAACTTTCCTGTCAATAAGCAATACATATTAAATTTCTTTGATTTCTACTTTGATCTTAATTATTTTCTTTTTATGCTTTCCTTGAGTTTGATTTGCTCTTCGTTTTCAAATTTTACAATGTGGAAGTTAAGGTCACTGCTTTGAGACCTTCCTTTTTTTCTTTATAAGTCTTCATTGCTATTAAGTTTACACAAAGACTATTATAGCCATAGATGGTATCAAATGTATTGTATTTTCATTCTCATTTGCTTCAAAATACTTTCTAATGTACCTTTGATTCCTTCTTTACTCATGGGTTGTTTAGGATGCACAAGGGAGACTGTCTATATGTCCCTGGGACTCTCTACACACTCCAGTACTCAGTACTCAGTCTTCTGGCAGCCCTGGTCTCCCTAGACTTTCTGTTCTTGTCTGTGCCAAGAGTCTGCTGAGTACTGTCTGGGTTACACATCCCTGTTTGTGAGCTGGAAACTCTTTCAAAGCACTAAAAAGAAGCAAGTATAGGGATTACTGTTCTTGGTTATCCAGTATCCACTGTTTCAATAAATATTAATGTTTTTTGGTGGTTGTTTCAGGGAAAAGAATAAAACTGGTCTTACTACTCCATCTTAGATGGCTGAAAAAATTCAGTTTTGTCTTGTTTTGTTTTGTATGTATATATATATATATATATATCATCATGAAATCACAACTTTTGTTTTCTTTGTTTCAATCTATTGCAACCATATGCCAGTGGAGTCACTGTATGCTGGCTTTTGGGTCCTACGGACTTGTTTCTACTAGTCCCGTTAGTGGTAATACTTAGATGTACTGATCTAGTCACTATGGGTTAATTGTACACTTGCAACTACTAAATGTGCTTTTAAAAAATTAAAAGAGCAAGTTAATAACATTTGGTATTGTAAGTAGTTATACTTAAGTAAAAAGAACTCACCTATGTTGGAGGAGACCCAATTCTGCCACATAAAACTAGTCACTAACATTCTTCACAGTTAAATGGAGACCTTAAGATTTCTTATGATTGTTTCATAAATAAAGTACTCTTAGTTTCCAAATGCAGTCCAGTAAACCTGATAATTCTCTTTCCAACCTGCATGTATTTGGTCTTAAAGACTTCTGAACACTCATTTACAAAGTTAGAGCAGCTTAGAAGGTTAGCGACTGCAATATCATTTGATATTAAGAGAATATATCAAAAGGCTACAGTTGTGTAGTCAATAAGCACTGGAAAATATTTGAGAGTCTAACCAAAGGACTATAGTAATAAAATATCAATATTTTTCATCTACCCCCAATCTTTCATCCTTTTGCCCTTGATTTAAGATTCTAAGATGTCACAAACCCCCAATTTTCATTTCAAACTTACTAAAGCCTTGACATTTCTTAGTTTCAGTAAGAACTCCATTAAGTCCCTTCCAAGCCAATGATTTCTAAATTCATATATTCTCCTGGGTATAAAAAACTCTACAGAGAACATCTAATCTAGGCACATGTCTTTATGTACACACACACACACATATATATATATATATATATACATATACATATATATATGTGAAAGTAAGACACAGAGATTTTTATATCACTTGTCTCTATTAGCAAATGTGTAGTCAAACATCTAATAAGCTAGAGAGATATTCTAAATACCACTAAATTAAATTATTGAGAGACCAATTAACTCTCAATAATTGGTATCTCAGAGCTCTCTAATCATTCATTTAAAATTATACAGCATGATGATAAAAGTAACAAAACTTTCACGAACATATATACATATATATTTACAGACATTACATGAATATAAATTGCATGTTATATGAAACATTTTTTTAAAAAACTTTTATTTTATTAAAACTTATTTCTACCCTGGATTTCATGTGATAAAACACTAATCTACATTCACAAAGCCTAACTATGTTTAAAACACTATCTTGCCTTTCCTTGAATCTAGCCATGTTATACCACAAACTAATCTTCTCATCAAAGTAATGATGTTGAACAATAAAGACAATTATCAGGACTTTTCAAACCTGCCTTGACATGAACTCAGTAGATTGTGACTACTGACACCATCAAAGTAGCAATCTCCAGAAAGACCTTCTTAGCCAATCGAACTTTCCAACTCAAACATTTGCTGTAGTTGCTATTTTGTCAGAGACAATAATTCTGATCTTTTAAATACCAGTGTTCCATAGTTTTTGGCCATCTCAAAATGCTCAGGGAAGTACTTACTGATCAAATAAATCTTGTTTTTTTTCTTTAATAAGTACAATTTCTAGTGATTATAAAAATCCCACATATGGTCATTACAACACTTGATGTGCACAATCTGTTCATCCAAAATCATTTCTATTCTACACCATAAACAGCATTAGATGTGACTAGGAAAATTATTCATCTATCAAGATGTTCAGGCCAAGGTTGTAGGAAATGAATAAAAAATTATGGTCACATATGGCCTTGGTTACACTAAGATGTTCTGATAGAGAAGTAATTGAGAATAACGTGCCTACACTCTGCTAGCTTCAGGCTCTGATCCTCAAAATACAATTAAAACTGATCAGTCATTTAAAACACAGGACAATCATAGGCTATCTGTCAGATATACTAGACCAGAGTGATGATTTGATGTTTTTCCCTCAAAATTTGCTCTGATTTTCTAGCAATTTAGAAATTGCAGCATCCATTTTATCATTCATACTAATATTTACTTACTGTTCTTGATACTGCTGCAAAACCCTTGCATACATTACTTAGCTAGTACACTGAAAATTAATTTGCTCAATTCAAATGCAATCTGACAACAGAATCCAGGCCCTGACCACTATGCCATGCTGCCATGGTGCTAAGTAAATCATAAACCTCTGCTTTTTTCCTGCAGAAGAATAAGAAACATTATTCCCCACTAAATTGGAGATTTAAAGAGACTCAAAGACACTAAGCCCAAAATGACCTGGAATCTTACCTGTTTTATTTGAGCATTGTGCTAATACAGCACTGTATAATTGTGGGGGAATGAAGGAAGGTTGAATCAAAAGTTTAATCAGATATAAAGTGGAAAAGGCAAGTCTGAAGTCCATTAATCTATGCAGTGACAAATTTCAGAAACTACACAGGTTAAACTTTAAAATCACTAGCTTTCCTATGATATGTAAGAATTAGCTTCTAATTGTTTTAGAACCTGGACAGAAATAGACACAGAAGGAAGAGATCACAAATGAACTATCATTTTATCAATGCTGAAATATAAGATTTTATAAATTTGGTAAAAAAGTGAACTCTGAGCTATCTGAAAGTTATGGTTAATTTTTATGTATATCTGCCTATCTTCACTTTACATATTCCACTGCGGTAAAGTGCATTTCCTTCTTAAAAGCCAAATGACAATGATATGTGAATATTTAAAACATTCATCAATGCCTCTAAATGCAACATATCAAGTTAACATTTAAATAATTTTCATCACACTTATCAGTTTCTTAAATGCATGTATTTCAAAAACATTTGCAGTGAAAAAGCAAAAGAGTAAGCTGCTTTTTAAAATGAATGTCACATTTCAGAAGAACTAGGTTTGGTATTGTTACCTCAACCAATTTTAACTTTATTAAATATTAGTATACTTCTATAGTGGTCTGATTATTGCTCATTCAGGCATATTTGACAATAGCAGTTATGATATGAATATTTGGAAACACTAAGGAGATGGAACTATAGCACCTACCTTGGTTAGGTGAATGACTCCTTTAGAAGTAACTGAACAACCCATGAAGCCAACATACTGAAGTTCAGGGCAGTGCTCAGCAAATGCTTTCACTGATTGATCTGTTACCTAGGAAAGAGATGTGAAAGTTGCTTGTATTAGCATTCCAGTGAATTCAGTATTATGCTCCTGGCATCAGTAAAGCTTGCTTTCCATTGGATCACTAGAATTACTATATAGACATGCTACAATGGCACCAGTGGTTTAAAAATAAATCCTCCCTTGATCCCACATCACCTTCTGTTTATCATCCCATATTTTCATGTACTTCTTCATAGAAAATTCCTCAAAAATTTATCTTCACATCTTCTATCTCCCTCAAGATACATACACACAAGATATACCATTTCTTATATTTTATTGACACATACCCACATATAAAATTCACTCTTTCAAATGGAACAGTCACTAATATTTAATTCCACATATTCACCACCTCAAAAAGAAGACTCATGCTCATTTAGAATCACTCTTCTATTCTACCCTTAGCTCCCAACCACTGGGAATGATGAATTTGCCTAGTTTGGTTAACTTTCATAATTGAAATTATACAATTTAATTTGAGATCCTTTATGGTATTTTTCTCTGCTTAGTATAATGTTTTCAGGATTCCTCTATGTTACATGACTCAACAATACTTCATTCCTTTTTACTATCAACTAATAATCATGTGGGTATAACACATCATTGTGTGCTGAATTACATCTGCCAAGATTCATATTTTGACATCCAACACCCCAGCACCTCAGAATGTAACATTATTTGGAAATAAGATGATTGCAGATGTAGTAGGTAATGGGTATAGGATTGGCAACTAATCCAATATGGCTGGTTTCTTCATAAGAAGGAATGATTAGAACACAGATTCATACACAAATGACATAAGATAATTGCCACTGTGTTGCCATAATTTGAGAAAAAAAAACAAAGACTGCAAACTAGGGTTCAGAATAGAGACTTCCCCATCAAAGGGAGAATAGTTCCGCTAAAATCTTGAACTTAGACTTCCTGCCTCCAGTACTGTGGGACAATATATTTCTACTATTTTTGTCATTTCTTTGTAATATGGTTTTATGGCAGTCATAGGAAACTAATACAAATATTTCCTAATCTAATCAGGCTTTGTCTTTATCATTTAACAGTCATCATGTTATCAAATTGGTTCATCAATTTAGAGCTTCCCAGCTTTAAACAGCATGACACAATTGCTGACCTTTCTTGAAACACTTCATTCATTTGCTCCTGAAGTTCCACCCCTTCCTGAATTTCCTTCCTCCTCACTAGGAGCTCTTAGTCATTCTACCAAGTCCAACTCAGTTCAATTCTCAGTTCATTTCTTTCTTGTTTCTAACATCTGTGAATGATCTAATCTAATCTTATGACTCCAAATACTAACTATATATTGGTTCACAAGTTCAAATATCCAGCTTACATTAAGATGGCATCAAAGGAGGCAAAGACAACAGGGAAGCCACCCAGCAAGGAGTTCTGGGGAGGAGAAAGCTGAATAGCATGGAGACAAATACTCATGACGCAGGGGAATAAATATGGAGGAACTGGAGTGATCCCAACAGGCCTGACCACTTTCCTGGATAAGAGATAAAGTATAAGAGACTGTACTCCCCATCTGCTACCTTTGAGACTGATAGTGAGTTCATGAAGCATGCTAACAGCACACAGACTACAGTGTCTTCAGCCCCAGAGAGAAAGGATATTGGTGGTGACATAAGCATGAGCTAGATATCACCCCAAGACAGTCACACACATAGGTGGGTTCCCCCACCCTGAACTCTGCAACAAAGACAGGTTTCATTACTTACAGAAGTCATCAAAGGTCTAAAGCCTAAAATTACTTAAAACCTCAGCAACAACTGATGGAAAAATAGAAAGAGTGAAATATTTGCACTTTTTTTTTTTGAAAATAGGGAGATGTAAGACCAAAACACAACAACTTAAGATCTCAAAGGAATATGAAACAATTCTTCAGAATTCAATCACAAATAAATGAAAGATTTTATCTTCCTATCAGATATACAGCTCAAAAGCACAATAAAAATCAAAGGGAGAGAAGAAAGCATGGAAAAGCAAATCAAAGTGCTATAAAATAATTCATAAAAGTTAATGAAATAGATAAAACAAAATTCAATGAAACAAAATTACCTGATATATAATTAATGAAAATAAAAGTAGATATTGAAGTTTTAAAACAAAATAACAGGTGTTTGATATTTTAAAAACAATAATAGATGAATAAAAAAGTACTAAAGAAGATCAAGAACTAAAATTTACCAAATAAAAAGATAATACTGCAAATAAATAAATAAATAAGAGGATGATGAAAAGTTATATAAAAAAGAAAAGAAACACTTAAAAATTATCTGGCTCTACGAGAAAATGCAAAATAAGGATAATGGATGGGGATCATAAGAGAGAAAAGAGAACAAAGAAATAATATAGAAAAATTCCCAAATCTGAGGAATAAATTTAATATATAAGTTTTTGTTGCTTAAAAAAACAAAAACAAACAAACAAACAAAAACCTCCTGGCTATAATTCCACTAAAACATATAGTTAAAAAACAATTAGGAGCTCAGTACAAAGAATATTGAACATGGTGACGGCGAAAAGTAGTTAACTTTAAAAAAAAAATCCTGCTTCATGTTTTATAAGAAGAAACCATAAGCAAAGAAAGAGTAGAATGATAGAATGACATCTTCAAATTACTTAAAGACTAAAACTCCTGCAAGACTCTATTTCAGATAGAAGGGAGAAATGAAGGCTTTCCCAGACAAACAAAAGATGAAGGCATTGAAGTGTTGAAGGGAGGTCTATTATCAAAATCAAAGAGAATAAAGTCTCTAAAAACTGAACAAGGAAAGAAACAGAACAGAAAAATAAGGAATATCTAAACAGCAGTATCAAATCTTACTATAACAATCATGATGCTAAATATAAACAGCATTTACCAATCACAAGGCATGGAGTGATTAGTTATACCAGAAAACAAGCAAACTTTTTGCTGTCTCCAGGAGATAGCATATGAGATCCATCTGAGTTTCAAAGATAAACATAAGCTCAAAACTGGAAAATAACCCTACCAGTAAATTGGACCTAAGAAAGGTAGGGACAGTTATACTTTCATCAGATAAAGTGAAATAGCAACTAAAAACAATAGCAAATATCATATAAACTCATCAGAAAAACAATAATCAAAGTTATATAAACACTTAAAGGAAGGAACACTAAATACATGCATACATACATACACACATACAATACACATACACACCACACACACAGAAATACAATAGTTAAAAAACCCAGTTTCAATAAATGGTGGTGAGAAAACTGGACAGCCATATGCAAATTAAAGAAATTAAACACCACATACAAAAATTAACTCAAAATGGATTAAAGACTAGGATGTAAATCCTGAAACCACACAGTATCCAGAAAAATACACAGGCAAAATATTCAGAGACACTGGCTTTGGGGATATCCTTGGAGACTTGATTACAACAGCAAGGAAAACAAAAGCAAAATGAAAAAAGAGGATACATGAAACTAGAAAGCTTTTGCACAGAAAACCAAATTATCACTAAAACAAAAAAATACACCCTACCCAATGGGAGAAGTTCATGCATATCACACCTGGAACAAGGGACTAAATATACTAGATCAATAATGAGCTCATAATTCAACAGGAAAGAAAAAATAACACCAAGAATGTGCAGAAGAGCATACAGACACTTCTCCAAAGAAGACATACAGATGGCAAAAAAAACACATGACAAAAATGTTCATCATCAACTTGTCAGGGTAATGCAACTCAAGAGTACAGGGCATGTAGGAAAAAGAGAATGCTCCAACACTATGGGTGGGAATGTATAATGGTCCGTTCATTTCCCATGGGAAACAATATCGTGGTTTCTCAAAATACTAAAAATAATCTAGAATACAATCCAGCAATCCCACTTTTTGATATCTGACCAACAAGTGAAAAAACTCAAATGTACAGATATATATGCACTCCTATACATGGAAACAACCTAAGTGTCCAAAGACAAAGAAGTACATTAAGAAGATGTGTTTGTGTGTGAGTGCATACACATACATGAATGCATGTGTATCTATGCATGCATATGTATATACATGTGTATATGTGTGTACATACGTGTGTGTGTATTACACAATGGAACAAGGCTGGGGGGCAGGGAAAATGATGGCTTCTCTTGCCATTTGTAACAATATGTATGGTGTGGACACAAAGTAAGTCACAAAGATAAAGATAAATAAGAGATCATCTCAGTCATGTGAATACAAATAAAGAAACAGAAAAAATTAACACAAACAGTAAAAATCTGACTACAGAACTGAAGCTATCACAAGAGCTGATAGGAGTCAGAGGGGTTGGAGAAGGGGTACTGGATTATGATGTAGGACTAAGGATGTCTTGGTGGTAGGTGTGACATAGTGACATATATCTGAAGAAGTACGGACCTATATCTCTGAATCCTATACCGTATTGTAAACCAGTATGACCTCAAATTAAAAAGTTCATACATGTAGCACTGCAATGTACTTTTGACCACCCCAATTAAAACAAAATCAAATACTGCCACCAGACACTGTCTCTTATCCTGCTTTTTGTTCATAACATTTATAGCTAACTGATTCATTACACACCTATTCAAATATTAACATATTATCAGTCTTCCCCTATCAGAACATAAACTTCATGAATGCTAGACACCCTTCCCTCCCTCACAATCCCCCCCCCCACCTGCCCAGAGTAACCAACCATTCTGATTAGCCTTGGAGAGTTTCAGTGATAGTATCAAAACTCCCAGACATGGAAGTTCTCCCAACCCCAAATACTCTGAATCATCTGAAACCAGATTGATACCAAACCTGTCAGTTCAACTCCTTATGATCAGCACCCTGAACAATCTCTGCTGCTTAAGAAAATGAGTATTTTAAAAAATGTTTCTTTTTCTTCCCTCTCCTCACCAGTCAAGCACCATTATATTTTTTCTTTTTTATTTATTTTAGATCAAGATTATCTTTTT